CCCCCCCCCAGTTCCTTGTTCCCAGCAGCACTACAAATCCCTTCTCTCTTCCCAAAGCACAAAGCAGGATGGTTTTGGTGGGTTCTCAGCTTGCAGGAAGCCATTGCAGGGGTCCTCAGCAGCATTAACCACGCGGGTACAACTGTCCTCCCCTCAAACTCCTAATTTCTGATTACAAAATGAACAGCCTCATCTGCCTTCAGCCACTCAGATCAGCTTCACTTCAATCCACGGCAAAGCAAATCCAAGGGCCTCCTGGCACCACGGGAGCTCAGCTGTTGGGCACCCTTGTCCTCGCCAAATCACTCCACTGGTGATTCCCTCAGGGCTGCAGCTGAAAAATAGCATTAAATCCCAGCCAGCTCAGACGTCACCGCCTCTACTCGGCATGGTGGGGGCTGGCTGGCAGGGAAAGGCCGGGAGCTGGAGCCTCTCACTCAGCCAAAGCGTGGAGGTTTGGATTAGTGGCTTGCTTTTTCCCGTTGTTTCTGGGTAGGGTGGCCATTCCTGAGCGTGGTGGCTGCTCCACAAATGCAGGTGCACCCAGCTGGCAAAGTAACAGGGAAGGAGTAAGGAAGGTTGCAAAAGCCCAGGGAAATCCCTGGGGCAACACCATCGTCCACCTTGGGTCTCCATTGCTGCTTTCACCCTGGAGTGCAAGTGCAGCACGGAGCTCAGCTCTGCCAGCAGCTGGTGTGGGAGGATCGGGTTGCAGCCTTGGCCAGCTCCCCTGGATCTGAAGGTCACCTCGTACCCAGCCTGTGCTGCTGGAGAAAAGAGGTCTGTTCCCACCTGGTCGGGTGGTGAGGTTCAAGGACACACTCCAGATGTCCCTGCCCGCCCCCGGGAAGGCGAGGGGGATGTGAGCACCCGGCCACTGCTGAGCTGGAGGGTGCAAGGGGAGAAGAGCAAGGTGGCTTCAAGTACACAGCAGCAAGCAAGAAAAATACTTGTCAGAAAAGGGACTTGGTTTGACTAATCCTGAAAAAAATAATGGCCATAAATTGTTATTCCCCAGTGCAGGGAAGCATAAAGATTGAAATAATCCAGTCTGAGCTGCAAAGCTGAGGGCAGGCAGTAAGTGGCAATGAAGAAGGTGCAGGTTCTTCCTCTCAGGCATCACCGATAAAAATCCAGACCCCATCAAACCACCCTTGCCCCAACCCTGCGGCCCTGTGGGGTGGGCAGGATGGCACTGGGGGCTCAGCCTCGGGCTGCTCTTTGTCTCCCAGAGCCCCCGTGCCTGTGCAGAGGCTGCTGGTGCTGGGGCAGGCGCTGTGCCCAGTGCTGTCCCAACCTGCCACCACAAAGCCGCTTTGTGCAGAGCCGGCCGGGCATGTCCCCAGCCTCCTCCCTGCTCGTGGCCCCGGTCTCCCCCCATGCTGCCTGTCCTCTCACAGGCCAGGGAAGAAGGCAGGGCCACAGCAGGACAGGGCACATCCACCCACCATCTCCTCTTCATCCTCCCACCATCTCCTTCATCCCCAGCTCATCTTCCCCATGATTTCCCAGTGGGTCACATCCCCCCAAACCTCTCACCCCGCTGGGATGGACCCTTCCCTGGAGTGGGAACTGGGCAGCCCAGCCTCTCTGGTGAGCTGTCCCACCTCCCCCAAGAAGTATATCACCCTGGTAGATCTCCCAGCCCTTTTATTCACATGGCAGCCATCACATTCAGTCGGCAGGAGAACCATGGTCCAGGAAGCTGTGAAACATCCCAGCACTCCACAGGATGAACTAAGTGGTTGGGGCTGTTAGATTCTCCCATGCCATTCCCAGTCCTAAAATAAGCCCTGCAGTCACTAACCCCCTTGCAGAGGGGCTTCTGAATCACAGCTAAAAGATCCCCTTTCAGTTAAAAGATCCTCTCCATTATCATGTCCCAGCAATTGAGAATTCCCCCTCCTGATTGCTTCCCCCCCTCCCCAAAAAGCCCCCAAGCAGCTAGAGCAGAAATTCAATGAGCAGCCAACCAAGCTCGGCAGCAGGAGAGTCCACGTGCAGGAGGCCAAGCCTTGTGCCTTGCAGCTGGGGGGCAGGTCACAAGACTCCTTTCACCAGGTGATGCTTTTCTGTCCCTTGGTCCCTGCCCTGCATCCACAAGAGCCCCAAGGCAGCATCTGCTTGCCACAGGCAGCGTCCAAATTCCAAAGAGAAGGGCAGTGCCCTGCTCACGCCTCTAGGCCCTGGGGTGAGCAGCAAAGCTGCTTCCTGGGGGATAATTCAACTGCCCAGCAGGAAGAGCCCAAGGACCCCTGCGGATCCCTGCTCCCTCCAGGTTAGACTGCAGCCTGTGCCTCCTTTCCCCACGGGGAGCAGCGTTAAAAGCATGGGGATTAATGGCATGGTCCCTCCCCTCCACGTCCCCTCCTTCGCTCTCAGCTGCCCTCTGAGAGGGTGGGAAGGAGCCCCAGGGGCACCCAAGACCCCCCCACCCTGTGCTCGCCTTCAGGGGCTCTCGGCCAGGCCGGGGGCCGGGCCGGTGGCCGGGCTGGGCTTGGCGAGCTGCCGCAGGTCCCGCACGGACCTCACGGCCCACTGGGCCAGCTCCCGCAGCACGCCCAGGCCCCGCAGCTTCTGCTCGAAGAGGCTGAGGCGCGGCGGCGGCGGCGGCCCGTCCTCCTCCTCCTCGCCGGGGATCCCGCGGCTCTCCAGCCGCAGCAGCTCCTCGAGGTGGTAGGCAAAGGCCGAGACCTGGAGCAGGACAGCCGCCAGCGCCCGGCCCAGGCCCGCGTCGGCCTCGCCCAGCTGCTCCCGCTGCTCCTCCAGCATCTGGGCCAGCAGGGCGCGGAAGGCCCGGTAGGCCGCCAGGTTCTCCAGCAGCCGCTGGGTGCCCGTCTGCTCGTCCCAGCGCTCCACCGCCGCCAGCGGCACCCCCTCCATTGCCGCCACGCTGGCCGAGGCGTCCAAGCCCTGCTGCTCCACCTGCAGGGTGAGACCCGCCGGGGATCAGCGGAGGCAGGACAAACGCGGGGGGATCCCCGGCCCTGAGCCCTGCCGCCGTCGGGGCAGCGCGAGCCGCCCGAGCCTTGCCCAGGTGCGAGCAGGCCCGGACCCAGCAGGACTCCGTGCCCCATCCCTGCCAAGGGCCAGACTCCTCGCACCCCGGCACAGCTGCCCAGATCCCAGCAGCGCTCCCGGCCCCGCGGCAGCCAGAAGGAGCAGGGCAAACTCACGTAGGCGTCCAGGAGGTCAGCGACATCCGCGCGCATCTTGCCGGCCAGGCGGATGCCGCGGCTGCAGAGGTCGCGGCGCCGGAGGGCAGCGGAGGGGCTCTCTGCGGCCGCCATGCTCCGGGCAGCTGTCACGGCCACCAGGCTCCGGGCGCAGCACCCGCCCGGCCCAGCGAGGACAATCCCTTGCTGAGCTGGTGCATTCCAGCCGGGAGCTCCGCTCACACGTCCGCTGGCCTGGTTCTCCCCCTCTTCCGTGCCTGGGGCCTGGCACCACGCTGCAAATTCCCGCCTCTGGGATCAACAGCGACAGATTATTTCCCTAATTCCCCCACGCATCGCTACTCCAAGTGCCTTGCCCAGAACTGTCTGGCGCAGCAGCAACAGGCTCCCAGCCCCGGCTGACCCACTCCTCCCTCCCAGCCACACAGTGAGATTAGCAGCACGCTAAGCCCTCGGCTCATTCCAGAGCGCGGGAAACCACTGCCGGGAAAAGGTGAGCAAAGCCCGGACATTGCTCAACACCTCAGCCCGGGCAGCCGGCTGGAGCCTGAGCAGGGCCAAGCAATGCTTGAGGGCAGCCCCCAGGCTGGAGATCCCGCAGCAACCCCAAGCCAAACTGCAACCCAAACCCTGGCAGAAGGATCTGTGCCAGATGCTTCTGACCCCCCTTCCCCAGAGGCGTCCTGCCCTAAAGAGGGGCTGCAGATAAGGAAAGATATCCCAGCCACGCCAGAACACCAGCCACCCCACAGGTGAGCTGCACACACCAAGACAAAAACAGCCCTTCGGGTTGGGTTGGTTTTTCCTCAGTATGTTTATTTTGGTTATGCATTACCTAGATCAAGAGTGAGAAAAACCCCAGGAATTGAAAAGCAGCTTCCCATGAATACACAGTGTGGCTGGCTGGGGGTCCCAGGGCTGGGGGGTCCCCATATGCCCAGCAGCCTCCTTGCCACCCCGTGGCTACTGCAGAAGCTGCTGAGCTTGGGGAGCCCCTGGCCACGGCAGCCCCCAGCCCCAGCCTGGTGGCCCAGGGCCCCTCAAGTGCTGCCCGTGACAAAGGGCCTCGTGCCCCCTCCAATCCCTCCCCGGGAGGAGAAAAAAAAATAAATACAGGGGAAAAAAATACAAAAAAGTTTATTGCAAACTACTACAATAATTTATTGAAGCAAACTGCATGCGAGTGAAGGAGAGACATCGAGGGGAGGAGGAGCTGCAGGAGGGCTGTGTCAGTTTTAGGGCTTCAGAGGGGCGTGGGAAGGGGGCTACACATCTCTCCTGCACCAGGAGTGAGCAGGCTGTGGTTAGAGGACAGACAGGCACCTGGCCACGGCCAGAAAAAGAAAAGGGAGAGCTACAGGAGGTGTCATGGAAGGACAAGGCAGGGAGAGGCAGAGATCAGAGGTGTCCAGGCCGGGAAGCAAAGGAAATGTTTGATTTTGCATCCCAGGAGTGCAGCCAGGGGCAAACCCTGCTCCACTGGGGCGGACGTGGGACGAGGCAGCCTCCCCCAGCCTGGTGCCAAGTGCTGGGTCACCAGAGGTGAGCAAGCCCTTGGCCCAAAGGCGTTTTAGTGCCATCCCTCAACCACCAAACCCCCGAGCTCTCCTTTAGTGTTCTGTGCAAGGCTCTGCCCACCCTGCACCTCCCACAGGCACAGGGGCCAGCAGACCCAGCTCCAGCAGCACCATGTCAGAAGGACAAAGCCAACCTGCCCCGAGGGCCACCAAGTGTCCCCAGAGTGCTGCCCCTCTCTAGCCCGCAAGGGGAGGGGACCAGCTGCTACCCGGAAAGTTTCCTGCTGGAAACCACAGTAAAGCAATCCAAGCAAGACACTGGATCATCTCAACTGAAAGAACTGGTTTAGTTTAACACCTTTCTGCCACGGACCTGCCACCAGGTGTGCTGGGCCCTCACGTGAGCCAGGCTGCTGCCACAGCGTGACCACGGGATGCCCACACCCAGGGCACGGGACACCCAACTGCTCAGCCTGACCCGCCCCAGCACCAGGAAGTGCTTCGACTTGCTCTGACAAAGGTATCAGTCTAAGAGGGAGGGAGGAAGGGGGCAAACCAGGACACACAGCCTGAGAAAAGCCAGCATGTTTGGGCCACAGCTGGATTTCCAGGCATCACAGGGGACAGAGTGGGTGTTCAGAGTCAGTTTCCTGTTAATCCAATTAAATTCCAAGTTTTATTGCGGTTTTCCAGACCCCCAGGTACCCGATTTCGACAAGCTGCTGTGTGCTACAGACCAACTCAGCTGATCTTGTGCTCAGACAAGATACTTCAGCTCTGCTCCCAACCCCAGAAACCCAACCAAAAAACAAGCAAACAAACAGAAAACAGGTTATTCTTCACCTCTTCCAAAACCGCTACGAATTCAAGGCCACTGAATCTCCACACAAAGTTTCAGAGAAGAGCAAAAAAAAAAATCCAAGTCTCCATAGCAGACACATCTGATCCTATGTAAACTTTTCCAAGGGCTCAAAGCTGCCCTAACTACACCAGCAAGCAGCACCTGACCCGCCACATTTCAGGGAAAGCTGGGGTGTCTGTGCAGAAAAGAGAAGCTTTCAGAACACGCTACACAATCCCCCCTCAAAATGAGGGAAGGGAGAAAAGCTGACAGCCCCGTCGTCCCACATCAATCTATTGCCTTGGATAAACAAGCCTGAGAAAACCATATCCAGTCCCTGCTAACAGTGTCTTTGTCTAGACCTGGAAAGGAGAGGCAGAGTTGGATGAGGAGCACCACATCCCCCAGCAGCAAGCAGCTCACGGCTGTCCCAAGAGTCACAAGTCACAAGAACAAGCTCCTGGCTAACAACGTCCTTCCCCAAAAGGCTGGAGGCAAAACAGGCATTTAATGCAAGGAGCTCACCCGGAGCTGGGAGCGAGGGAGACACAGCCCATCACTCACCTCATCCTCCTGCTAACACGCTGCTGCAGAGACTCCCACTGCACACAGGCTCTTCTCCAGGGGCTCTCCCTCTACTCTGCAAAAGCTGCAAGACACATCTGACTCCAGAGTGCTGCCTTCACCTCAGCTCTCCCAGCCGCTGGCACAATGGCACTGGAGCTCCCTGCCCTGGAGCCTACTGGGAAACAGCCTGAACCCCTTCCACCCCCGCCCCTAAGAACAGAACTAAAAAATACCGACCCTTTTTTAAACAATAAATAAGGAATCTTGTTACCACAACACAAAAACGAAGCATGTTCAAAGTGCAAATTACTGTCGTCAAACTGGGATGCTCCTCCTTGCCTCTCCCACGCAGGGCTCCTGTAGCCCCCGGGCCTCTCCAAGCAAACATGATCTACGAGCCAGGGCGTTCCCTCCCTCCACTTCCTGCCAGGGCTGGAGCAGGGGAGCGCGGTGGGAGCGGGATGTGCACTGCTGCTTCACAGCTCACCCTGCCGAGGGGCTAAAGTGCCAAACTCCCAGCCCCGGCCAGGAAGGAGGAGACTGCAAGGACCAGAGTGCAGTGGTGCATAGAAGTCGGGACCAGGGGCAGAGGGAGTCCTAAGGAACTTCTCCAGAGCACGTCCAACGCTTTTTAGTTTGCCAGTGGGGCCACGCCAAGGAGCCAGAAAGGCAACTGCTTTGGGGTAGAGCAAGGGGTTTCGGCTGTGCCCCTTCCCCTGGAGAAATCCGCCGCTCAATCCAACTTGCTCTGGCAATGGCAGCACGTGCCCCTTTCCACAAAGGGGCCGTGGGAGAGAGAGAAGTGGTTGGGAGAAAGAGGATGTGCTGTGATCCGCGCTGGAGGGGAGCAGACCCTTCAGTTATTTACTAGTATTGTAAGTTTTGTTTAACTTTCCTCTCTTTCAGTAAGTGCCTCCTCCTTTTTTTTTTTCCTTTTCCTTTTAAATACAGAGTCCCAACTGTCCCAGCACCCAGGCGGCTCCCCTGCCACTAGGGTCCAGTGGAGTCTGAATCTTCAATGAGCACCTCCGTGCTGGCTCCCAGCATCTCTGTGTTCATGACCAGCCCCTCCGGGTTCGCGCTGCTGCCGCTGCCCACGAAGAGCTTGCCGTCAGCCACCAGGCTCACTCGCTCTGCCCCGCCACAGTAGGGCTTTGGCATCCCCTCTGGGCTCAGCAGCAGGCAATCTGCTGGGGGAGCGCTGCCCAGGGGGTCGGGGAGCAGCGGGAGGCCCTGGCCATCCGTGGGCGGCACAATGGCCTCGGGATTAGTGCCCAGGATATCGGTGCTGGTGATCAGGGCGCCCGCGTTGGCAGCCAGTGCTTCAGCAATGAGCACTTCGGGGTGACTCTTGGCTTTGTGGGCCACGACGCTGTCCTTCTTCTCGAATTTCTTGCCACAAATATTGCAGGAGAATTGGTAGAAGGAGTCTGCATCATGCTTCTTCATGTGCCAGTTGAGGGAAGCCTTCTGCCGGCAGGTGAATCCGCAGATCTCACACCTGGGAGGGGACAACGAGGAGGTCACAACAAAGGGACATCCACACATGCTCAAAAGGACAACAGTAGCGAGGTGGCAGCTCAGGAGAACAGCAGGGGCTCGCTAATGTCACTGCAGCTCCAGCTCTGATTTTATTTACTGAGGGCTTACGTTCCCCAGATCACACCAAGACACGGCCCCGAGGAGCAGGTGACACAAGTGTGTGTTCGAAGAGAGCTGGGACACCAGGAACAGGCTCCAGCCTGACTCCAGAGTGTTTTGGGGGTCCCTCAGAGCAGGAGGGCGAGGCACAGGCAGAGGTACTCACTGCAAGGGCTTCTCGCCCGTGTGGATCATCCGGTGCACTGCCAAGTTGTGGGAGCTCTTGAAGGCCCGGGCGCAGTACTCGCAGATGTAATCCCTTTGATCTGAAAGACAACACCAGTTGCAGCACTGCTCTCCCACAGACCTGCCCCCTTTCCCAAGGCTCAGGCGGTGCAGGTAAAGCTGCCCAAGAAGGAGCAGAACTACAAGTTCTGGGAGGAGGAGGTGTCCCACAACACACCACAGCTGCTGATCTGGAGAGGCGAGGCATGATTACGACTCTCCTAAGAGCTAATTATTCACTCTGACCAAAACTGAAAGACTGGCAAATTGGGATAAATCAGACTTTATCTGTTGAGGCTTATTCCTCTACAGAGCCCCTGAGTGATGCCTGCCAGAAGGAGAATTAAAACCTCTATAGTCTATTTCTTTCATTTGCTTAAAAGATGGTAATCCAGAAGACAGTAATACCCTGCTGCTGCTGCAAATCTATGCCACCTGACTTGGCTTCACTCTCTGCAGAAGTCCCAGAGGCTTTTCCATTTTCCCTCTATCTGTTCACTGACCTGAAGAGGAGTTTGCCTCTATTTCCCACCCTCTTGTACCTGTGTGATGTTTGGCATGCCGCAGGAGCTGCTTCTGGAGCCGGAAGAGCCGACCGCAGGAAGGATGAGGACACACGTATTTTTTCTTCAGTAAGTGCTGATATTTTATGTGATGCTGGAAAGAAACAGTGGAAGTTGGCAGACTGTTCATGGCTGAGTGAACAGCTGAGGTTCACTCAAGTTTAGATCTCCACTGGAAAATAAAACACACATGGACATCCAGCAAGCTGACAGACACTCACACACGTGGCTACAACGGGCCACAATGAAGTCTTCCAAAATGACAGCATCAGGAAGGGGTGTGAGTGCCAGTGGAGGCTTAGCTGCCTGTTCCAAGCACCCCTTCCCTGCCCTCCCACGTGCCACAGAGGAAGTGAGCATCCCCACCAACCTGCAGGTACCGCGGGTGAGCCAGGACCGTGCCGCAGCCTTCCATCTCACAGCGGACATACTGGATCGGAGGCTTCTTCCTGGGAAATCAGCAAGGAGAGGGGCACAGTGCTTGGCTGCTTCTATGATCAGGTGATTCTATAGACAAAGATTCTATATATATTCTATTTAGAATCACAATTCTCTGTGTCTGTGAGGGGCTGACGTGTTTCATGCCACAAATAACAAGTGCAAGCGCAGCAGAGCACTATTGCTCCAAAACCCCTGCCTGGGCTGTGACACAGCTGCTGTCCAAGAGCCACCTCTTCTGCTACTAGCTGAGGGCTCTCCATAGAGCTGGGAAAACCCCAGGAGACCCAGAATTCCCAAACCAATTCCTTATTGCTGGGCAATACCATGGGAGGGATCAACTGAGAAGTGGGCAGGGGGCTGGTTCACTTGGAAGAAATTAAACCAACACCTACAGGGGAAGGAGAAGAGGGAAGACAAGGCATGCTGCTGGTTTTGATTTTTATTCCCTTTAAGGCAGAGAGATGCCTTTGGGACAATCCAATTTCCTGTCTGCAGGAAAGCAAGTCTGCAGAACAGAACTGGGTTGAGAGGATCACTTACCTTCTCTTGGGCAGCCTTGGGCTCTTGTCATCCTTTCTCCTCCTTCCCCTCCTGTAACAGGGATACAGAAACAGAACTGAGAGAAGCTCTTTACATTGGCAGTGGGCACAGACTTTGACATGTATGCTGTATTGCCTCATTAACTGCACGGTCTAGAAAAAAACTGAGTGCAAGTTGGAGACAGATTCAAAAGATGGAGAATTCCAGAGAAATAAATGCTTCACATGGTTTTCTCTCTCAATACTTCCCATTTCCTACTGCATTTTTCATAAACATGTAAGTTTGCCAACACGGACTAGAACCTCCAGTGCACTGCTCTATTTCCTCTGCTCTGCTGGGGAACATTCCACACCATGGGAGAACATCCATCTGCCTGATCAGGAAGAACGGGATTAATGATCCAGCAGCTACTTCACAGGCCTCTGAATTAGCAACAGCAGTTTCTGTACCTGTCAAGGCAAAAGTCTAGGCTCTGTCTGAGCAGACCTGTGCTCACACGTAAACTGCAGCCTCCCAAGCCACAGCTCTGCCTGCCTGATCCCATTGCTGCAGAGACACTTGGAGCAGACTGATGGAAGTATTTTCTAGACTCTACTGAGACATCTGTATTGATGGCAAGCCAGGAACACACTGAACACACATTCAACATTCAAGCCAAGCCCTCAAAAGAGCCACAGGTTTTATTAAGCACAAAAAGTAGTGTCTGATTCAAACAACAAAACCTCAAGCCCCAGAAAGCAGTCTCCAACAAACAAAAATGTTCTCAAAATATCCCTCCTCACTCCTCTCCACTGTGAATCAGCAGCAGCAGCTCAGGAACAGCAAGAGAAATTGCACCACTAGTGTGCAGCAGGTCAGCAGAGGGAGCCCGGGCTGCTCCAACCACTCAGAGAGGAGCTGAAGTACAAAACCAGCTCCTTTTTCTTTTTTTCCCCTCACATTATCCCAACGAATGGCTTTGACACAGTCACATAAACCCATCTCCCTCTGGTGCCAGGAGGAATGCTCCAGCCACGAGCTCCAGGGACAGCACACACCAGAAGGTGCCGGGCCACTGGCGACTGACCGGGTGGCACAAGTTTGTTGTTTTACTTCTCGAAAGCAAGGGGAAAGCAGCTCATTTTCCTGACCTCTGGTGAAGTCCTAACTGTACAAAAAGGACACTTGCCACACACACAAGGCATTCCAGTGACAAGACATCCCAGTGTCTGCCCCCAGCACACAGCAGGAATGCTGCCCTCTCCCACTGGCTTTCGGGATCCACTTGTGGCACCACAATGAACCCATTGTAAGGACACCCTGAAGTATTTCCCACTGTGTGGTCACACCCAGGGAGGCTGACGAACCACAAGATGATGAAAAACCCCTCCACTTAAGCTAAACTCTGATTTTTTTTTTGTGGCTGAAGACAGGCAAGACGTGAGAGCACAGGATAAACAGTGCTGCCCCATCAGCTGTCAGGCCCAGAGGAGGAGGAGGGGGATGGGGGAACAACAACAATTAAACACTGTTGTACACCAGCAAGAATGCAAAACACACAGCACACACTGGCACGTGTAACTGCAGAGTTTACTCACTTCCTTGGTGGTTCTTCATCCTCCTGAAACTCATTCTCTTCTTTCACTTCCACTTTAATCTCTTTCTGCCTTTCTTTTTCCTCCTTCCCCTTGCTAGCTTTTCTCCTTTGCTTTGGTGCTTCCCTACAAAGACACAAATACAACACATTACTCCAGTACTCTTCCCACTGCTGCTTTTTACAAAGATTTAAACAAAACTGGACCCAAGTTCAGGTATGTTCTTCAAGTCCCACTTTCAAGCAGAAGTAAGAGCCAGACTTAGGGAAGCACCCAGCAGCCAGCAAGGCTCTAAAGGCTTCAATCCCTGAGAGAAGAACAGCTCTGGCCAACACAGGGAATGTTTAGAACCATTCCACCAGGTCAACTAGCACAGGCGCTTTGGGGCATATTAAGCTAATTCAGGTAACATGCCAGTATTTTTTTGGTCTAAACCCCCAGTAAGTACATAATCCAATATACTTCTCTAGGTGGGGCTTGTAGGTCTCATCTCTGGGATCATCTTTGAAGGGAACTTCTTCCTCACTGATGAGCATCTCCTCATCATCATCGCTGTTGGGAGAAAAGGAGAAGAGAGGACTTTGGCAGCAACAGCTTGGCCACTACTGCAAGAATATCTGTGCACCATGGCATAGGAAGGACACTGCTACACTGCACTTCCTCATCCATGACTGGGGAAAGGTAACTGCTCTGACCAAGGAGCACAGTGACAACCAAAACACGCCAGGCAGAGCTGTGTCCTTCACTGAACCCACCCACAGCAACAAAGCTACCAGGCTGAATGCCCAGATTAAATCTTACTATCCATTTCTCCACAGTATCTCCTGACATCTGTGCACACTGGAACTGCAAAGGCGAGGGCCAAAGGAGACAGAGCTACTGTCAGTCCCACGGATCATTTCACCATTTCACACAAGCATTTATTTTCAAGCAACTCAGGCCCACCTTGAGACACCGAATAGGAAGAAACACCACAAAAGAACATGTCCTACCTGACTCCATCTGGAGACTGATGCTCGTCTGTGACCACTGAAAGGAAAAGTCACCATTAGGTTTCAAAGTGTGTTCGCTGCAGTGAGCTCTCTGTCTCACGGTACCTCCGTCGACATTCAGAGCCGGGAGTGCTGGTGGCAGAAGGCACCCGTGACAAGCAGCACCACGCCAGCACAGCCACACGCCCAGAGTGACACCCACAGCCGGCTCCCTGACCGTCCCCAGGCCTTCCGTGGCACGTACCGTACTCCAGCTGGTCGGAGTTGGGCTCTGACTTGCAGATGAGCTGCAGGGAGCCAGCCTTAGACCTGGAGGCGCGGGAGTTCTCGGGGTCGCGCTGGCGGGCGGCGGCGCGGCTGCTGCGCCAGCTGCGGCCGGGCCGGGCCGTGCCCACGGGAGAGCCATGGCTGAGCACGCCGGACACTTCCTCCTCCTCCTTCTCTTCTTTGGGAGCTGAAACAGCCATTGCAGTCTCTTTCATCAGAGTACAAAACACCTAAATCCCCTCGTTAAATCACACCTTCAATCACAGCAGCCCCTGCTGATGCCTGGAAGGCTGATCTGGGACAGAGACTAGGCAGAGCTAAATGGACAAAATCGGTATTTCTTCAAAGGCCTCTACAGGATACATCCTGGGCAGCACAAGAGCCTGGCCAGGGCTACACCCAGGCTGAATCCAAGAATGGTCACGAGTGTTTACACTTTTGTAAGTTTTGGTTCATCTACATATTGGGTTCAATTGTCCAATTACAGCTCCAGGTCATGAAGTCCCCCTGGCTTACCCCCTTCTCTTCACAGTTGTTATGCTTTTTGGGAAATGGTTGTCCTTGATTCTCTAGCTGGGAAGGGATTGTTTTGTCAAACTACCCTGTGAAGAGAACTTACTAACACCCAATATGGAGTTTCAGAGTTATATACCAGGTAGCAGAGAATCTAAAAAATATAAAAGCTAAAACCCCAGGCATCACTGCCTGCTGTGGGAACCTGCTCAGCCCTCTGTGCTGAGCCAGGACACTCCCCAGGCCCTCACCTCAGCAGACCTTCCCTTAAAACTCTCCTCACATTCCCTCTAAGGAAACACACTAAAATTTAAAAGCAGCTTGTATTTCCCTTGGATAAAGGCTTCCAAGACAATGATTTGCTGGCTCTAAGCACAACAAAAGAGATACTCATAAAGCTCAGCAAGTGCTTTATGAAAGGCCAGCTTCAAAGTTGGGCCATGTGAAAAGTCATGTTTAGAGAATCCCCCAAACATGTACTTCACTGGAATTGTACACCTGGCAATATCCCTGAGGGATTTGAGACGGACGTTTCTGGTGCTGTGCTAGAGCAAAAAGCATCACAAATGCTGTTAGCCTGAGGTCTCCACACTTATTTACAGCTTGCACAGGTGGTTTCCTTTTGGCTCATGGCTGGCCTCCAAACATGCTTTGGCAAGATAACAGAAGTGGCTGAAATGTCTTGTGAGCAAGTCAAAAACTGAAATTCCCAAGTACAGTTCATTTGATCTCACTTTCTGACGCTTGCTGTGACAGTGGGCCTTCATAAACTCAGTGCCCTTTGAAATGTTACAGCTGATCATAGAGCAGCTTGGGTTGGGAGGGACCTTAAATCTCAGCTCATTCCAGCCCCTGCCATGGGCACCAACACCTTCCCCCAGCTCAGGCTGCTCCAAGCCCTGTCCAGCCTGGCCATGGATACTTCCAGGGTTGAGCAATCCACAACCTCTCTGATTGCTCCCAGCCTGCAATCTCCAGTTTTGCATCAAGCCTCCTGAACCAAATGATCCTTTTTCTCCCAGCACGTAGTTTGCTCTGCATTACTCGCTGTCTGATCCTTGATTAACAGGGTGGGAATAAGCAACATTTGGCTGGAAAAGCCTGACTGGAATCCCGGATGTGAGGCATCACACTGTTGTAAACCATCAAGCTGCTGTCTTGCATGTACAAACCTCACCATCAGAGTGTGAACTGCACCTCCTAGGCTTTCTTTAGCTGATCTCAAGGTGACTGCTGCATGTTCTCAGTCCTCATGGTGAACATCTCACTTTTGAATGCTAAATGAAACCCAAAGACACTTGAAACCATCCTCTAAAAATTCCCCGCTCAACCACTACTGTGTTGCCAGGGATAGCAAACACTGCTGCTCTGGAAGAGCTGTATTCCCTTGGAAGATCTGGCATTCAGCTGATTACTTATCATTTTAAAAATCAGGCTTACAGAGCTGAAGCAGACCTGCCTCAGAACATATCTGGACAGAGGACACCCCTCACCCAGCAGCTCTGCTTCCCTCCTCTACAGCGAAGGTTTTGGATAAGCGTTTTCCCAGGATTTCTCCTTCCCACTTCCTCTGCTTCAGCTGTCTAACAGATTCAGGGCATTTTTACACGCTGAGAATACCCAGGTACCTCCCAAACCCCATCCTTAGGAGATGCATCAAGTATTTACCTTGCCAGCGAGCTCACAGTGACACAGAGCTATGAGCTGAAAACCCTTCTAATTCTAGACCCTCCCAACATGGTCCCTGGTCCCTATCCAAGGGTCAGGGCTGCACCAGGAAACTTCTGTCAAGTGTTCAGCTGCAGGAACAGCTGGAATCAGCCATCACCAAAGCCCTTGCCCAAAATACAAAAGTCGGAGATTCTGAGTAAGTTTTTGTTTCTTTTTCCTTCATAAAAAAATAGATTAAAAACTGTGAGCGAATGCCAGTCCCTGGGAGAAGGGACAAGACAAGGAAACCTGGAAGGACACTCGCAGTGATGTTGTGGCTTTGTTTAGACAACCAAAAGACAAGACTCTGGGCACTGCTCTGCTTTTCAACAGAGCTGAACTTTGATTTGTAAGGCTTTTGGAAGCTTCTCACTGACCCTGCAGACAATTTCAGAAAATACACGTGTGCAATTAGGCAAAAAGAAAATAAACTATTAATTGCTAAGTTAAAAGGCTGCTATAAAAATAAATGCACCACAACATATGCACACCTCTGAGATTTGAGGAAGCAATCACACAGCAGATAAGGCAGCAAACACCTGCCTTCATAATGGCATGGAGAGAAATGAAGCTCAGGAAAAATATCCAAGTGCAAAGCTCCATCCAAAGGGCTCTTCCCCACCAGAGCACTGTGGAACTGTACAGATGGGATACAGGAAAATCCTTGGAGGGTTTGAGCTATTTAAATTCAGCGCATTTTTATAAGGTTTGGTTTTAAATAATGACATTACTTTCCCCAAACACTGACAAAGCCTTAAGGGAAAGCAATGCTCCCAAAAGGAGCACGAAGCATTCAGAATAAAACTCTTAGTTATAATGTGAGTCCTCTCTGTACAAACCCATCTGCCACTTCCTCAGTCTCAAACTTTTTTTTAATTTGCCAAACATTACTGTTTTCTTAGCAAAACCGCTGAATTTGAGAACATCCTTCCAGGGGGGGTGACTAAAATGAAAATTATTCCCACAAGGATACAGAGCACTGTGGAAGGCAGACGTGAATTCTGCCACACAGCGACTGCAGCTACACCAATGCATCTGTAAGCTGAGATGAAACGTTCTACTCATGCATCCAATATTCCTGCAGGCACACGTTGGGAAATCCTGCGACTGCATGACTAAGCAGGCGACAGGGAATAGCCAGGGAACACAGGCTGACACTGCAGCTGCCCCCGTGGTGGCAGTCACACAGCTGTGACACAACGCACACACCTTCGGCTCTCATCTCCCTCTAAACTCCCCGCCACACCTGCACAGCCAGAACTCCCCAGGGGATGCAGGAAAAGCCTGATCCCAAGGCTTTGTACCATGGCTGTCCCAGGGATCATTCCAAACTGGATTTAGCAGTTGACAGTAAAGGCTAATACTGCAATGCAAAAAAAAAAAAAAAATCAATTCTGTATCAGGCAACACAAGCACAGAATCCAAGCCTTCACCAGAACCACTCAGCACCTTATCCCAGCTCCATCCAGGGGGAAAGGACAAATGGGATTGTGCTTCCTGGCTCACAGGGGGCTCCTGGCTACCAAAAACACTTGTGCAAGGAAAGCTGCTGCTTGCTTACACTGGTCTGGCTCCTCAAAAACTGCTGCTAAAGGAGGGGGAGGAGAAGCCCCTCCTGCTCCTGCACAACCTGTCCCAGGAAGGAGGAGGAAGGAGGAAGACACTGCTCAGCCTGTGTCCAGGTCCTCTCCGAGCAGCACAAGGTGCACAAGGGCTCCATCCAGCGTGCAGCCAAGACACAGGAGTGCAGCTTCCTCACTCCGGTGCTCCTGCAGACTAAAAAACAAACCAGAAACAAACAACCCCCGCCCTCCACAGCACAGATTTCCTCTGGCCCAGAAGAAGTCAGCACTTCCCGGTGCCAATTTCCACGCAACTGTTCCTACCATCATTTTGGCTGCAAATCTAATTGGGGAAAAAAAAAGAGCCCCAGAAGTTTAACAAACACTCCATTCTCACCTTGAAGCACAGCTGAAACTCTCAGAGGCCAAGTTAAAGGCTAAAATGGCTCAAGTGCAGAGAGCTCCCAAACCTGGGAATTTCAGTCTGGCAACTTTCACTTCCTGGGATAAAAATGGGAATATTCGGCTCATTTTCTACCACTGCCAATAAATATTTCTCCTTAAACCAAAAATCAAGCAAGTCTTAGCTCTATACACATACGTAGCCAAACTTTTTTAGACATTTCAGCAACTGTGCTCTGACACAAAAGCCTGAAGCTCTGGCATTACACTGCCCACGCTGTACACAGTGAGGGGTAAATACACACAAGCGAGATCTGGACTCAACACACAGCGGTTAATTCTGCTTCAGCCTGCAAAAACACACCTTGCCAGCTGGAACTGCGATGGATTTCCACACCCAAATGGAAGGAGGAAAGCTAAAGAGTCACCAAAACACAAGAATAACAGCAGCCTCCGAGACACAACTGCTGGCAAACAAACCCGGTCAGCTCCAGCAGAAAGGGGAATTCATCGGCACAGGTGTGTGACCTCCTTTCCTCAGCACTTCATGCTGCCACAATTCTCTGGTGCCAGATCAAAAACAACACTACACAAAGCCCTCTACTTGGACCTGTTTCAGAAGTCATCACCAGGTAAGCAGCAAAGCCCTCTAACTTTCTTTTTTTTTTTTTTTTCTTTTTGGGCTTCTTTTTTCTCTTTTTCTTTTAACAAGAAATAGTTAAATAGATGCACAAAATTCACAGTATGCACTGGAAAACAAAAGTTCTGCTCCAGGTCACAGATCCCCACAGCTGGGGCTTTTGTGTTCAGACCCTACTCACGCCCCCAGTTCTAAATAATTTTCTCTTTCGCCCCTGAAGACATCAGCCTAAAAAATCCATAATCCACTAAATCTAGAAAAGAACAAGTGTGAATATCTGAATACTCTGATTTCCACACAGCTTTCCCCCAGGTCTCTTGAGCACATATTTCTGAGCACAGAACAGAAGTGAACCCAGGATTTGCCAGGTACTTAGGACTGATATGCAACAAGAGCTATCAAACCACGGAGCAGCCCAGCCTCACGCTCCAACAGCCATGGAAAGCCCGAGTGCTTTTTGGGACAGTGAGATTTTGCAGGTTGGGCACGTGCCAACAGCAGCAGCAGCAGCTTATCACAGTTCCACGGTCTTGAGAGAGACTCAGAAAGAAACTGCACGTCACCCAGCACTAAAACATTCTTTAAAAGGAAGATCCAAAAAGAGGATTGGGCTAACCCATGGGACAACCCAGGCTTTCCAGATGGAACACAACACCAAGAGAGAGTAATTCAGCTCTTACCTTTACCAGCGACTTTATCTGCGCACCTGAAAAAACACAAAAGCAAGTGTAAGAGCCAGACCCTATGGGATGGGGGCAGCAACAAGGAGCTGAATGACGTGGAGATGAGCCCCAATTCCTCAAAGTCCGGTGCCTCTCTATCGGATCATTGTTTTTAACCCCTCAGGCCAAGGTGGATTGTTCCAGCCGCAGGAAGCTGAGAGGGAGCTATAGGAATCTCCAGCAGCAAAGGCCCAGCCATGCCCAGGACAGCTATGACTGATCCAGGGGGATTCTGTGCTAAGAACAGGGCAGAGGAGCTGCACTTCCGAACCCTCCGGTGTCCCGCTCACGACCGAAGGTGCAGCGAATGCAGCATCTCCTCCCGGGAAGGCAGAACCCACCGCCTCCCTCACTCAGGTCTTTGCCAGACGGGGCCAGACCGCACCGGCGCCGCGGGTTACCGGGACAGCGGCGGCTGCCCGAGGGCGCCGCGCGGCCGGCGATTCCCGGGACACTGCCCTTCCTGGGAAGGGACCGGCGGGGCCGGCCCAGCGCGGCCGGAACAAAGGGGCGGCGGCGCGGGGCACCCCGGGGCCGGAGGCGGCCGCAGGGCCTGGGCCCGTTCGCGCGGGTCGGGCGGAGGCCCCCGCAGGCCCCTCCGCCCGGACCGCCCGTCCGCCGCGCGGCCGCCGCCCGGCCCCCGGCTCCGCAGGGCTCCCTACCGCCGCCGCTGCCTGCGCCCCTCCGCCTGCCCCCGGGCCCCTTTGCCCCTCGGGCGAGGCCTGGCAGGGGAAGCCGCTCGCCGCCCCGCCCTACGCGGCTGCTCCGTGCCGCGGAGTTGCGGCGCCGCCCGTAGTACCGGCGGGGCCTGGCGGCCGAGCCGCTTTTTGCTACCGCTTCTCCTTTAAGAAAAAAAAAAACGCCCCGTCGGGCGGCGGGTGAAAGTCGGTGACAAAATGGTGGCCGGCGCAAGGGGGGCGGGGCACACAGCCCTGGCCCCGCCCGCTTCCGTCCCGCTGCCGCGCATGCGCGGTGCCTGCCGGGAGTTGTAGTTCCACCGGGGCTGAGGCAGCGCCCGTTCCCCGTTCCCGGCTGTGTCCCCGCCCCGAACGGCCCCTGGGCAGGAGCCCGGGAGCGGCTGTGCGGGGACACCTGCCCTTGTGGTCTTCAAGGCCCGAGTTCCTCCCCAAAACAGCCCCAGCAGAGCCTGACTGTCCCACAGGAACTGCTCTAACACATTGAACGCACACCAGAACCCCAAAACTTCGCCGACGCTGGAGGTGCCACCCGGGAGCGGGTTTTGTCACGGTTGCCACTCTGTCCCCTTCCCTGCTGTCCCAGTCACCTCGGTGGCTTTTGGAGCTGGACTGATGGTGGCACAGCATTCCCTCGCCTTGGCTGCAGCGGGATGTGACCCTGGGAACAGGACTGGGGTGTGCTGGCTCTGGAGCAGAGGGTTTGGCCGATGTTACCCAGCTTTTGTGACAGGGGAACAAAGGGTAACACTTCCCCAGAACAAGGTGCTCCTCATCCTCCCTCGGGAGACAAAAAGCAAAAATCACAGGGGTTCAAAGAGCCCGCAGCGTTCAGCTGGAAAATCCTGTTTGCTGAGCTGGTTCCCACCGGTGAGAGGGATCCGAGCGCCTGCTGCTTCCTTCTGCTGCATTTCAAATCCTTTCTGCTTCTGCATTTCGAGTCCTGAGCTCTGGTATGTTCCTAGAAAACAAAAGTGTGTCCAACAGTTCCTGAGAGTGTGCTAATAAACCCCCTCACTGTGGAGAACCACATTCCCCTGACCCAGACACTGGGAAGGAGAATGTCCTTGCATTAAAGTTAAAGAAAACCTCGAGATCCTTGCACAGGGATTCCTCCTCTCCCTGCTTTTTGTCAGCCCCATGCCAACCTGTCCCTAACACTGGGAAGGAGAATGTCCTTGCGTTAAAGAAAACTCGGGATCCTTGCACAGGGATTCCTCCCGTCCCTGCTTTTTGTCAGCCCCATGCCAACCTGTCCCTGCCCTTGCCATGACTGATTTCCCCTCTGCAGGCAAGGCTGGGGTCACTCCGTTCTTGCTGGAGCAAAGCTCAGGGCAGGGCACAGCTCAGCCTTTGGCCTCTGGCTTCTGTAAGGACAAGTTTTAACATATTCCAGCTCCAGATGCTCCTGTGCTTGGGCTCACACATCACTAAATCACAGAGAAAGCTAAAAATAGCCCAAAAACCTTCCACAGGCAGGAAGGTTCTGTTGAGTGCAGAAAGGGAAGTGCCTGACACCGGGATCCCAGCCCGAGCAGTGCCAGCGGCAGTGCCCAGCTTTGGGTGGCTCTCAGCATTCCTGGCCTGAAACACGGCCTGGACACAGCTGGTTGGTGGCCCTGGGGCCTTTTCCTGAGGCGGGGCTGGGCTGGATGTCCCTCCTGTGAGCAGGTGACAACATGGAGCCAGGAATGAAGTGACCCCTGAGGTGGCAGCTTGAGGGGCTCAGCGGGGCCAGGGCAGGGCCAGCCCGAGCCGTGGGGGTGCTATTGTCTCTCCCAGAGAGGATGGAGTCTGTGGCTCTTGACCTTGCTCCCGAGGTTTTCCTGGCTGGATTAAAGAGGAGCCAAGCCAGGACCTGGTGACGCTTTGCGGGCTGGTGGCCAAGGTGACAGAGATGTTGTTGGTCACCTACCAGGTGCTGCCTCCTCCAAACACCCAAAGAAGAGCCCAAAGGACACGCCAAGCCATGTGCAGCCATCTCTGGCATTAACATTCCCCCAGTCCCTTGGAGCTGTTTCCACATCCACTGCCTGCTCCCAGCAGTGCCAGGAGAATTCTCTGCCAAAAAGGGATTTGCTGTTACCTGGAAATCGATGCCGAGGCTCCAGAAGCGTCCCCCAAAGGCAAGGCTCTGCTGGAATGTGACAGCACTGCTCCATCATGCTGCCACAAATCCATTTCCACCCAGCACAGGGACGCCATCCCTTGTCACACGTGGCCAGTGGCTTCTGGACGGGCCTGGGTCAGCAGGACATCCACGTCGTGGCTTCTGGAGCTCCTTGGGCAGCCCACTGGCCCGTCTGTCCCCTCTGCAGCCCCAGCCTGGGCTGTCTGTGGCTCCCTGTGCCCGTCACACGTGCTGTGAGGCACGCAGCCCACAAAGGAAACCCCGGGTGACAAACCCCGGCGCGGGGGGCGGAGGCGAGACCGGAACAGAGCCGGCGAAGCCTCTCCTGCCATCTCAGCACCTCGGGGTGCTGCCCCTGCCCTGGGACCCCACGCCAAGGCAGGATGGAGGATTTGGGTAAGTTGGGCCGCTCAGGAGCTGATCCTGCAGCCAGGCCTGCCTTGGGGTCACATTTTTGGCACCTTCGGGGAGCCTCTTCCTTCCTGTGCCTCAGCACCGGGAGGGGATGACGCTGAGGGGCAGCCTTGGAGCCCTGCTCCCTCCTGTGCCTCCTTCATCCCAAGGGACCGATGGGGCCTGTGGTTGAGCGAGCACTTGGCCAAAAACAGAGCGAGCTCGAGAGCAGGAAATGGGCTGAGGCAGCGCCGCAACCCTGGCTGCACCCAGCGGGAGCTGGGAGCCATCCCTGGCCTGGGATGGGGAGCTGGGGTCAGGGAAGCAGCCACACTGCTGGGGGCATCCCCTGTTTCCCAGAGTGAGGGACAGCCAAGGCAGAGAGGCGAAAGCGGAAAGGAAAAGTGCTCGGCTCACCTTGGGGGAAGTGGTGCTCTGGTCACGCAGGATGGGCCCAGGGTGAGCTTTTCCTTGCCAGGGCTTATGCTGGGTCAAGCTGAGGACTGGCAGAGGTTCTTTGCTGGCCAGGGATGGTGTGGGGAGGCAGGATCCTTTGCCTCACTCTTTGGGAAGGTGGGCACATCCTGCACTGGGATGGGGGCCTCGGGGAGGCCTCGGGGCTGGTAGCTGGCCAGCAGGACCTGCTGTGACACTCTGTTTGCTCCTCAGATTCTGGGAGTGGTACAAGACCGCAGGGTGGGCAGCTGGTGGCTGTGGGGTCTGACCCGGGTGTCTCTGTGCAGATGCTTTGCTGGCAGAGCTGGAGCAGAGCTCCTGCCTGGCCTCCAAGGACCGTGAGCTGCAGGGACCAAGCTCCTGCCAGGATGCCCAGCATGGCACCCTGAAGGTAATGCCTGGGCACAGAGACCCCTCGGCTCATGACGGGGTGGTGGGGCTGGGCAGGGGGAGCTGCCAGGGGAGCACCCTGAGGGCTCTGCCACAAGGGCTTGTCCTTTCAGGTGCCACTGCCACCCCGAGCTCAGCCTCCAGGAGAAGGTTTGGATTCAGTGTACAGGTAAAAACAGCCATGGGAGGGCAAAGCCATCTGGGGCTGTCTGTTCCTTGCTGGGAACTGCCATCCAGGGTCACCTGGGGCAGACTGTATCCTGCACACCTGCAGCGTTCCCTGTGGTGGCCTGGGGGAAAGGGCTGTGTTGGCAGGGGTGGAGGGGGTCTTGATCCCAGCCTTGAGGTGGACACCACAGCATCTCCCCTCTCTGCCATGTCCAGCACCCCTGTGCCAGTCCCAAAGCCGCCGCTCCCCTCGCCCCCACACACGGAGGCCGCCCGGCAGCTGGATGAGCTCCTGGCCGACCTGGGCCACACGCAGAGCAAGGTGAGCCTTGGCCCTGGGACAGGAGCATGGGGGGTTTGGCCCTCACCCAGACCTCACCATCCTCCTTCCCCGCAGCTGGCAGCTGCAGGGCAGGGAGCCGGGGTGCCCACGGAGTCCTTGCTGGACAACATGCTGGACAGCCTCACCCGGGACCTGCAGGAGCTGGGCATCACGGCCGCGCCCGCCGGCCTCTGCGGCGCCTGCCGCAAGCCCATTGCTGGCAAGGTGAGCCCCCTGCCAGCCTGGCACCCCTGGGCTTCCCCCGGGGCTGCCCTCACAGCCCCCGTGTGCCTCCTCCTCGCAGGTGCTCACAGCCCTGGGCAAAACCTGGCACCCCGAGCACTTCACCTGCGCCCGCTGCGGGCAGGAGCTGCACAAGGGGCCCTTCTTCGAGCAGGGCGGGTGGGCGTTCTGTGAGGAGGATTATCACCAGGCCTTCTCCCCGCGCTGTGCCTACTGCGCTGGCCCCATCCGCCAGGTGAGTGAGTGACCCCCCGGCCTCCCCCCGGCCACCACCGGCCCCCTCACCTCGGCTTTTCCTGCAGAAAGTCCTCACGGCCCTGGAGCAGACCTGGCACCCCGAGCACTTCTTCTGTGCCCACTGCGGGAAGGTGTTTGGAGATGAGGGTATGTCCCAAGGAACAGGTGGGGGGTCCTGCCCCCATCCCAGGTAGCCCCTGCTCTTGCACTTATCGCCCCATCCGACAGCTCCCCAAGGTCTCTCCCTTGCCTCCTATCCTGGGTACCACCCTGTCCATGTCCCACTGTCCCCAGTGTGAGCCATCCCCAGGTGGGTGCCCATCCCAATCCCCTCCCCGCAGGGTTCCTGGAGCGCAATGGGAAGCCGTACTGCCACCAGGACTTCCTGGCCATGTTCGCCCCCAAATGCCAGGGCTGCGAGCGCCCTATCACGGACAACTACCTGTCGGCCCTGCAGGGTGTCTGGCACACCGAGTGCTTCGTGTGCACGGTGAGTGGGACGGCGGGGCTGCACTTAATGGGGGCGTTCCCAGGGCCATGCCAGCCTTCCCCTCTCCTTCCCACAGGAGTGCCTGACTGGCTTCACCAGCGGCTCCTTCTTCGAGCTGGAGGGGAGGCCCTACTGCGAGCTGCACTTCCACCAGCGGCAGGGCACCATCTGCCACGGCTGCGGCCGCCCCGTCACCGGGCGCTGCATCACGGCCGCGGGGCGCAGGTACCACCCCGAGCACTTCGTCTGCAGCTACTGCCTGGGCCGGCTGCACAAGGGCACCTTCCGCGAGTTCGACGACAAGATGTACTGCCAGCCCTGCTATGACAAGCTCTTCCTCTGAGCCCAGCACACAGCCTCGCTGCCTGGATGGCCCCAGCATGGTCCCCACCATCAACATGCCTGGCACTGTCCCTGCTGACCCAAACACGCCTCATGTCCCGCCCATCAACATCCCTGGCGCTGGTCCAGCTCAGCCAACTGTCCCCAGCCTTGTGTCTGCCAAGGAAAGCATCATTCCTTGTCCCCCTCCCTGCAAGATATCCCTGGCCTTGCTCCTTGGACCTGAAGCAATAAAATACCTGCTACTGCCTTCTCTCTGCTTACTGGTGGCTTTGGGGACAAGGGTGCAAGACAAGATGGGAGGGCTGGGAAATACCACACGGTTTGTCACAAGTGACACCTCTGGAGCCATGGAGACCAGCACCACTCCTGGAAAAAGCAGCTGGGTCCAGCAGCAAAGCCAGAAACACCAAAGGGGCAGGCAAACATCACACTTTAAAAACTTTATTTATATAAAAAAATCATTTTGTTTTAAAAGCGTTACAAGAGTGTGCACAGGAATCAGACAAGGAACGGCTTGGCGCTTCCCCCTCCCCACCTCCTTGGCCCCCCTCCCCACCAGGGCCAAGGAAGAGAGAAGGGGGACGCTGTTTTTTGGTTCATTTGGAATTAAAAATTAAAAAAGGAATTAGTGTTTTACATATTTAAAGGAAAAGAGAAGAGTTAGACCCCAGAACAAAACCCAACTGAGCTGAGGTGGGGCTGGAAGCAGGGCAGGCCCAGCCAGAGCTGGGGGGGAAGTGGGGCAGGAGCAAGGCACCAGCTCTGCCCCTGCCACCTCCCCATGCCCAAGAGCCCGCCCGGCAGGGAGCCCCGGGCTGGGAGGGCTCCTGCTCCAGTTTGCAGCCTCCTACAGAGGCTTCCAGTTGCACAGGGAGCCCCAGAGCCCCCCAAAAGATCACAGCACATGGATGTGCCCCAGCACCACAGCCAGAGGAGGAGGAGCACATCCCAACTCCCGTGGCAGCCCAGGCCAGGATGCAGATGAGCACCCCGCACCCTCTCAGCGAGGGCAGGGGGGTTGGGCTCCCCCCAAAACAGGCTCCCAGCCCCACTGCAGACAGGTAAGGCTCCCCAGCAGGGAAGGGAAGAGCTCAGCCCTGCCGGAAGCCCAAGAAATCTCCCCTTTCCCAGGGAAGCAGCTGGACAGTACGATTCAAATAGCTATTTCACAGTGGCAAAAGAAAGGCACGTGTCAAGATAAAGTCAGCGGGGCAGCGCCGCGGGATCCCGGCTCCAGGCGCCCGGCACAGTGCGCCCCGAGCCGCCTGCTCTCCCCAAAACCCTGCCGCATCTCCTCCCTCCACGGGGACCCCGGCCCACGCCCCAGCACTGACCTCCTTCCGCACAGAAGGATCCTCCTCACACAGGCACTGGGTGGGAGCCAGGGCCCCATCCAGAACCCCTGCAGGATCCAGAGCTGGATCTCCCTTCCCATGCCCCCAGAGCCTCATCTAGAGCAAAGCAAGAGACGTTATTGCTGGTTTTCCTTCCCCTGGCCCCTGTGCCTCCAGCCCCTGGACTCTGGTCCTGCAGCCCTCAGGGAGAAGGGATGCTCCTGCTGTCCCCACAGCGCTGGTTGAAGAGTGATCCCACACGAAAAAATATATCCTATAGGCAACAAAACCAAACCCAAAACAAGGCGGCGGCGAGTGAGGTCCCAGTCCCTGTCCCTGCAAGACACCTCGGAGCAGGGGGAAGGCGTGGGAGAGAAGGCAGCTCCTGGTCAAGGCAGAGATCCGAGTCCTTGTGCAGCATCCACGCCGGCTGATCCGGCAGAGTCAGGCAGGAAGGTTTTACTCTCAGGAGGAAGGAGGTGGTGGAGGACAGCAGGAGGAATTCTCAGTGGTGGTGTCCCAGAACAGGGAGATGCAGCGGCCCAGAGGGGACCGAGTGGCCCGGGCTGCCCTGGGGACCCGGCCCGGGCGTTTGGCTGGATGGTTGGCACAGAGAGTCCAGCAAAATTCCAACAGTAAGACAAGGTAAAAGTCGGTCCATTCCACCATGAAGAGTTATATATTTATAATATAATATATTATCAACCCAAATGGAACAGAGGCTGGGAAGCCAACTAGATCTTCTGCTGTGGAGAGACAGAGAGGGACAGGTGTTAAGGCTGGAGCGGGAGCGAGGGCGGAGGCAGGATCACAGCACCAGTGATTGCAGCAGCAGGGATTGGAGCAGGATTTGGCTGGCCAAGCACCCCTAAGAGCACAGCAGGATCTGTCACCACTATCAGATTGGGCAGGACACCGTGGGACATACCGACACAGGGGAGGGCACAGCAACATCTTCCGCCTCCTCCTCTACCTCAGGCTGCGACTCCTGCCCCTCCTCCTGCTGCAGACACATGCGGTTAGTAGGGGCCTGGCATGGGGGGTGTTAGTAGTGGGAGCCCAGCTCTCCTCTCCTCTGCCAGACAGGACAGCGATGTGGCATTTCCTGCACCCATCCCACTGTTCCCGAGTTAAAGAGAGCTGCTTACCATCAACGGCGCTGCCTTCACCGGATCCATCTCTCCGAGGTCACCGGATCGGTCCAGCGTCCTGCTGTGGTCCCTCTCGTTGAGTGTGGAATAGTTGTCTGGAGCAGGAGAGGGGACAGTCGGTCAGTCATGTCACCTCCATGGGGGGCTGCACCATCCCCACAGATGTGTACTCTGCCCTGCTCCCCACAATACCCAGAGGGAGTCCCCTCTCTTACCTGGTCCCATGTTGCTCATCTGGATCTCCTCCCGGGAGGATTTCTTGTCTACAAGCAGGAGAGAGCACATCAGGAACAGTTCCTGCAGCCAGGAGCCGCAGAGGAACTGCTCCCTGCCCCCGCTGGGGGAGCCCAGGCTCAGGCCCAGCTGCACGACCCACAGGACCTACAGTGCCAGCCGCAAGAAGCCATCTAAGGCCCAAACTGATGGCCCTGCTGGCCAGAAAAGCCACCCAAGGCCCATATTAATGGCCCTGTGTGAGCAGCTGAGGCTGCCACGGAAGCCAAAGCTGAAAAGCAAGGGAGGGTACAAATGCCAGCTGCCCCGAGTATCCACAAGGCAGAGGGATGATGGCAGACACGGGTGCTGAAGGCAAGCACATACCTGTTTTTTGGTTCCTGTCAATGAGAGGCAAGGTGCTGTCATCAAAGGAGTTGCCTCCCTGGGTCCGAGAGGCATTGCTCAGGTTCACCTACAGCAACAGACAGCATCCACTCAGATCCTGTGCCCAGAGGTTCTTTCCTCATCAGCACATTCCAGTCCTCCAGCAACAGCACAAACCCAGGAACCCTCCCACAGCCCTTGAGGAGTAAGGGGTCCAAAGTAAACAGAAGGTGCTGAAGCCCCCACTGCACCCCCATCAGAGTGGGGGGGGCTGCCTGGACTGGAGCAATGCCTGGCCCTCCAGCAAGGGCAGTCCCTGCTTTTGGGAAGGAAACTGAGCCTGGGAGAACCCTGTTCTTCAACACTGCCACAGCAGCACTCAGAGTGACAGAATTCCTGCCTCATGCTCATGTGGGACACAGGGCATGACACCTTACAGAGTGTTCCTAGCAGAGACTTCCTGCTGGCCATTGGTCGAAAAACAGCACAAGGACACCTCTGTGGGTGCCCAGTGCCACCAGCAAGGTGAAGAGCTGCAGGCCAGTACTGCCAAGCTCCAGGAACACCCTTCTCTCTGCTGCAGGATCCCTACTGCCCTGGCCACCACAGGGCATCCCCATACCTGGAAATCTGACTTCTTCCAGCCTTCCTTCTCAAGGGGCTTCCGCAGCTCCTTATAGCCCCAGACTGTCTGCAAGACGAGGGCGGCTGCCCGGACTTCTCTCTCTGACCGGTTCCTAGAAAGAGGTAAAGGAAGAGATGTTTGGAAACTGGGAGAAAGGGAAGTCCCTCCCCACCCCGGTATCATCCTCGGAGCAGAGCTTACCCAGATTTGTTGATCAGCACAAGCTTCTCGATCCCCTGCGTTTCCCGGAGCTTTTTGGCCGCCTCGAGGTTGTCCACGATCACTTCATTGATGGTGTTGAGGATTGACACCACCGTGTCCTCAGAGAGGTTTTTGGCAGGTGTCTGCTGGCCTCCAGGCAGGTTCTTCACTAGGTTGGGGAAGGCATGCTTGCCTGGGAAGGATAAAGAGCTGGGCATGAGCAAGCAGGGAACAGCACTGAAGGGAAAACCGCTTCAGTGACCCATTTTGCTGTCTCTCTCCGCGGAGCTCAGCGCTCTCTGCTCTGGGTGAGGGCAGCACAGTGGGCTGATGCTGTGCTCACACACTTCCCCAGGAGCCAAGAGAAGGAGGAAGTTCCTGCCTGGCCCGCACGGATACAGGAGCGCGCCATGCTCACCGATGAGCTCCTTGTTGCGCAGGTCCACGGCCAGGTTGCGCAGGGCCCCCGACGCCGCCTTCACCACGCGCTCGCTGTCGTGGGGCAGGAGGTCGGCGATGGCGGAGAGCCCCTTCTCCTGGCGCAGGGCTGAGCGGATGTACCGGCCGTACTGCACGGGGGAGGCACAGGGCCACCGTGTCACCCGGGGCTGGCACCGCCGCCAGCCCCCCCGGGTGGTGTTCCCGGCTCCCCTTCCCTGTCACGCCGCCAGCTCCGTGGGCACTCACCGTCCAGCTGCCAGCGCACAGGTTCTGGATGGCTCCTGCTGAAGCCTCCAGGATGGCTGGAGTCTTGCTTTCCTTCAGGAGGGAGATGTATATCCGCACCACTTCTGGCTGGAAGAGGAGCTCGTAGCCTGCCAGGAGGACATGGGTAGGAAGGCTTTATCCAAGGGCTCTGCTAGCGTCTGCCTAATCCAAAGGGGCACTGCTGGGCAGATGAAGCTGGAAGCTTCTACCCAGGCTCCCAGGGGGCAGGATCTTTGGCACAGAGAGGGCCAAGATGCCCCAGGGTACCAGAAACCTCAGCCTGATCAGGGGCTGTGATTCACATGCAGTGAGACACTTGTCCCCAGAGGCTTCTGGGAATGACCCTTCCTCATTCTCATGGCTGGGGAACAATTCAGGACAGATTTTAACTTGAACTCCTGCCTGTTCTTCATGCCCAGGAGTGAAGAGCAGGCAAGAGGGCAACTGTGCTGGCAAGTCTGAGACCACCACAGAGGGCTGTGTCACTGCGCTGTCCCTCGGCCCTGGGGCACTCTTTCCCTCTGAAGCCTGTCCTGAGGCAGCGCTGACCTCATCCATGCACAAGATCCTCATAAGTACTGGCAGAGCTCAT